TGATCTTGTTACAGGTAACTGATCTGCTATCGAAGGTGTCAGAGTCTGGGCTGAAACAGGATTCCTTATTGGCCATGGCGAAGAACAACCTGCACAACAAACGCACATCACACCTGAAACTGGAGAGGTGAGAAGTCGACCCGTGACGGGACGAGCTCATTGTTTCACACCTGACTTACAAGAGAAGCACAGGTCTCATGGCTCCTTTACAGCTGCCTCTTTAGTTTGAGTTCTGGCATTGAGGTGGTGAAATATTTGGGCTATTACTTACGAATAGTTATAATAAAACCAATGAACTGAACTTCATCAGACTTCTATTTAAACTGGTAATTTATGGTCACAAGAACCTTTGTTGACGCTGTCATTGTCTGTTTCCGTTGTATTAACAGATCCACCAGGTGATGCATCAATATTATTCATACTGTGACATTTTAGGATTTAATTTGAACAAAAAACGTTTATGTACTAAAGTTTGGTCTTAAAAGAGAACTACAGCCAGGTGCATAGTTTGTAGATGAAGATGAGATGTGTACAGTTTGTCCTCTCATTTTAAATCAAAAGATCAGCATATTTGAAGAGCAGACTCTCAGCTTTAATTCAAGGGGTTTAATTTTTTCTTTTTCTTTTGCGTGAACTGTTTTTTATACTCAATCCCCCATTTACAGAAACTGCCCACGAAAGTGCTTGTCAGTCAATTCTCCAATTATTTTGACAACTGACTGACAAGCACTTTCGTGGCCAGGTGAGACCCGTTCCCAAATGAAGCAGACATAATGTCTGAAGCTGACTCAAAGTGTTGAATCTATATTATATAGCTTTTATTGTAATTTTAAACATAAAGACTGAAGAAGGCCATCCTTAGGCTTAAAAAAACATCTATAATAAACAATGTATCAACAATCTGATACTTTCATAAACTCAACAACATCAAAAGGCCTGAAAGACCTCAGATGAGAACTAAAGTGGACAATGACAGAATTATTTCCATGGTTAAGAAAAACAACTTCCCAACATCTGACCAAGTCAGGCTCTCTCTTGAGAAGGTAGGTGGGCCATTCTCAAAGTCTAGAGCTCATGGTTACACTCAAGAACACTAAAGCCACATTAGACTTGGCAGTAAGGATCCAAGTAAACATCTATAACGACTCAAAGCATACTGAAAAACCAAGCCAAGAGTTATGCAAGGCAAAGAAATGTGATATTCTTCAGCCAAATCAGTCACATAACCCACAAAGAATGCTTTTCAGTTTCTGAAGACGAAACTGAACGCAGAGAGACCCACAAACAAGCAGCAGCTGAAGGTCAGTAAAGGTCTGGCAGAGCACCTCAAGGGAGGATTTAGTGACATCCGTGTCAGTCACTGACTACAAAGGATTTTCATCCAAGAATTAAAAAACAAAAATGCATTGGTTTGTCCATTTCATTTTTTCAGCTACGAAAAATGTTGGAATATGTTTATGAACGGCTGTAATACTTTTAATAAGCCCCTTGAATTAAAGATCAAAGTCTGCACTCTGTCACATCTGGACTGTTTAAAATCAGCTTTAAATGTCTGCTGTATTTTTCTTT